GATGTCAGATAATATGAGGACTCTATCTAGCGATGGCAGATAATATGAGGACTCTATCTAGCGATGTCAGATAATATGAGGACTCTAGCGATGTCAGATAATATGAGGACTCTATCTAGCGATGTCAGATAATATGGACTCTAGCGATGTCAGATAATATGAGGACTCTAGCGATGTCAGATAATATGAGGACTCTATCTAGCGATGTCACATAATATACTCTAGCGATGTCAGATAATATGAGGACTCTAGCGATGTCAGATAATATGAGGACTCTATCTAGCGATGTCAGATAATATGAGGACTCTAGCGATGTCAGATAATATGAGGACTCTAGCGATGTCAGATAATATGAGGACTCTATCTAGCGATGTCAGATAATATGAGGACTCTATCTAGCGATGTCAGATAATATGAGGACTCTATCTAGCGATGTCAGATAATATGAGGACTTTAGTGATGTCAGGTAATATGAGGACTCTAGCGATGTCAGATAATATGAGGACTCTAGCGATGTCAGATAATATGAGGACTCTATCTAGCGATGTCAGATAATATGAGGACTCTAGCGATGTCAGATAATATGAGGACTCTAGCGATGTCAGATAATATGAGGACTCTAGCGATGTCAGATAATATGAGGACTCTATCTAGCGATGTCAGATAATATGAGGACTCTATCTAGCGATGTCAGATAATATGAGGACTTTAGTGATGTCAGGTAATATGAGGACTCTATCTAGCGATGTCAGATAATATGAGGACTCTAGCGATGTCAGATAATATGAGGATTCTATCTAGCGATGTCAGATAATATGAGGACTTTAGTGATGTCAGGTAATATATCTAGCGATGTCAGATAATATGAGGACTCTAGCGATGTCAGATAATATGAGGACTCTAGCGATGTCAGATAATATGAGGACTTTAGCGATGTCAGATAATATGAGGACTCTATCTAGCGATGTCAGATAATATGAGAACTCTAGCGATGTCAGATAATATGAGGACTCTATCTAGCGATGTCAGATAATATGAGGACTCTATCTAGCGATGTCAGATAATATGAGGACTCTAGCGATGTCAGATAATATGAGGACTCTAGCGATGTCAGATAATATGAGGACTCTATCTAGCGATGTCAGATAATATGAGGACTTTAGTGATGTCAGGTAATATGAGGACTCTATCTAGCGATGTCAGATAATATGAGGACTCTATCTAGCGATGTCAGATAATATGAGGACTCTAGCGATGTCAGATAATATGAGGACTCTATCTAGCGATGTCAGATAATATGAGGACATTAGTGATGTCAGGTAATATGAGGACTCTATCTAGCGATGTCAGATAATATGAGGACTCTATCTAGCGATGTCAGATAATATGAGGACTCTAGCGATGTCAGATAATATGAGGACTCTATCTAGCGATGTCAGATAATATGAGGACTCTATCTAGCGATGTCAGATAATATGAGGACTCTAGCGATGTCAGATAATGTGAGGACTCCAGCGATATCAGTTAATATGAGGACTCTATCTAGCGATGTCAGATAATATGAGGACTCTATCTAGCGATGTCAGATAATATGAGGACTCTATCTAGCGATGTCAGTTAATATGAGGACTCTATCTAGCGATGTCAGATAATATGAGGACTCTAGCGATGTCAGATAATATGAGGACTCTATCTAGCGATGTCAGATAATATGAGGACTCTAGCGATGTCAGATAATATGAGGACTCTATCTAGCGATGTCAGATAATATGAGGACTCTATCTAGCGATGTCAGATAATATGAGGACTCTATCTAGCGATGTCAGATAATATGAGGACTCTAGCGATGTCAGATAATATGAGGACTCTAGCGATGTCAGATAATATGAGGACTCTAGCGATGTCAGATAATATGAGGACTCTAGCGATGTCAGATAATATGAGGACTCTAGCGATGTCAGATAATATGAGGACTCTATCTAGTGATGTCAGATAATATGAGGACTCTATCTAGTGATGTCAGATAATATGAGGACTCTATCTAGCGATGTCAGATAATATGAGGACTCCAGCTATGTCAGATAATATGAGGACTCTAGCGAAGTCAGATAATATGAGGACTCTATCGATGTCAGGTAATATGAGGACTCTATCTAGCGATGTCAGATAATATGAGGACTCTATCTAGTGATATCAGATAATATGAGGACTCTATCTAGTGATGTCAGATAATATGAGGACTCTAGCGATGTCAGATAATATGAGGACTCTATCTAGTGATGTCAGATAATATGAGGACTCTATCTAGCGATGGCAGATAATATGAGGACTCTATCTAGTGATGTCAGATAATATGAGGACTCTATCTAGTGATGTCAGATAATATGAGGACTCTAGCGATGTCAGATAATATGAGGACTCTAGCGATGTCAGATAATATGAGGACTCTAGCGATGTCAGATAATATGAGGACTCTAGCGATGTCAGATAATATGAGGACTCTAGCGATGTCAGATAATATGAGGACTCTATCTAGTGATGTCAGATAATATGAGGACTCTATCGATGTCAGGTAATATGAGGACTCTATCTAGCGATGTCAGATAATATGAGGACTCTATCTAGCGATGTCAGATAATATGAGGACTCTATCTAGCGATGTCAGATAATATGAGGACTCTATCTAGCGATGTCAGATAATATGAGGACTCTATCTAGCGATGTCAGATAATATGAGGACTCTAGCGATGTCAGATAATATGAGGACTCTATCTAGCGATGTCAGATAATATGAGGACTCTAGCGATGTCAGATAATATGAGGACTCTAGCGATGTCAGATAATATGAGGACTCTAGCGATGTCAGATAATATGAGGACTCTAGCGATGTCAGATAATATGAGGACTCTAGTGATGTCAGATAATATGAGGACTCTATCTAGCGATGTCAGATAATATGAGGACTCTATCTAGCGATGTCAGATAATATGAGGACTCCAGCGAAGTCAGATAATATGAGGACTCTAGTGATGTCAGATAATATGAGGACTCTATCTAGCGATGTCAGATAATATGAGGATTCCAGCGATGTCAGATAATATGAGGACTCTATCTAGCGATGTCAGATAATATGAGGACTCTAGCGATGTCAGATAATATGAGGACTCCAGCGATGTCAGATAATATGAGGACTCTATCTAGCGATGTCAGATAATATGAGGACTCTATCTAGTGATGTCAGATAATATGAGGATTCCAGCGATGTCAGATAATATGAGGACTCTATCTAGCGATGTCAGATAATATGAGGACTCTATCTAGCGATGTCAGATAATATGAGGACTCCAGCGATGTCAGATAATATGAGGACTCTAGTGATGTCAGGTAATATCATTAGCGATACCAGACTACATCCGTTACGATGTTACTTGATCAACTTGTCATATATATTTATATGTTTGTAGGAGTGGGCTGTCGTATACTATTTCATCTGTTCAAATGACGGTTAACATTGACAAAAAATGGCTTTGGACTGCCTGACAAGTCTACAATCCTATGTTCGTTTTGAATGTAAAGGACTCATTAAAATTAAATACCGTTCGATGTATGTATACTTGGTCGCCTTTATACCTTGAGATACAATATAAGGTATACAATCACAACACCTCTGGAGTTAAATGGCTAGAGATCTTCTCACTGGAGTCTATTGTAGAGCGGAGTTATTTCCCCGCCTGAAAGGAAACCACAGTACATTGACTATAGAGGGTAAAGACTGAACAGGCAGGTGTAATTACCTATTGTGCTGTTACACATCGATCGATAGAGAGAGCGAAAGCACTACTAGTATGCTGTATGTTACTGGCGTTTTTGTACCCGCTTATAAGCACAGTCAGTCCTTTGCGATGTTAGATAAAGGATACCTGTCTATGAAAAATCACGAAAAGGAGAATAGGAAAAATAACTATTTAGTTGAATTGCTTACTTCATTGTTACGTTTATGTAAAATTTGGATATACAATGTAGTAACGGCTAAAATTCACCTTTGAACTTTGTTGACTTACAGTATCATTATTGATAAAACTACGTCCCCCTAAATTTCAATAACTTGACCAGTCATGACAAGGCAATCCTTTATTCATCTTTCAAATAAAAGTCAGCATATCGGCACCGTGGTACAGGCTCATTGGGTCATGACATACAATTCCATTCTATTGATTAATGAAACGAACAAATTTTGACATAATTATATTAAGGAACAGTGGCGTAGCAAGGATCTAAAGTTGAGGGGGGGGAGGGGGGCAAAAATCTGGCAACGACGGCGAAGCCGTGCGTCGCGAGCGCCGAAGGCGCGAAGCTTTGGCGAGGGTTCTGAGGGCCCTCCCCCAGAAAATTTTGGCTCCATTTCCTGCATTTTGAGCGTATTTTGAAGGAAAATAACGACACAATAATACTGGGATAAGTCGATATAATGTATTGAAATAAATCAAAGTTAGAAAAGATACAAATGGAAACAAAATAATGTCGGACTACATGTACATAACAATCAATAAGAAATATCAGTAAATGACAACATACATAAACATCAAAAATCAGCATAGACTACTGCTCAGGTAAAAAAAAACGAGTTGGTTAGGGTCAAATGGAGAGTTAGCTGGCGTTTTCTTTTCGATCAACAATATTCAAGCTCAAAGCTGTCTCGTTTCAAAAAACTAAAATTCAGGTAAATGCAGATTTTTCAGTTTTAGAGAAGACATAATCTTCTATGAGCCTTCACATTTAGTTACAAGACGTTCTGTGTCCAACTTAACCAAGATGTCTGATTCCACAGACCATACTACAATATTAATCATATCAAAATTTTAAGTCGTCTCTTCCTTGTTGATCAACAAACTCGGACTCGCATCAATCAACCTGTCATCGCTGCATTACTTGTTTATTCGAGTTCGGATTTAAATGTGTTCATACATCATTCGGTTCTTTTAGGATGAACGTAATCTGACCTGTCAAATGATTTGTTGCATCCGTTTCCATCGCGGCTAACGGGAAAATGAGAGTTCTGATTCTGTTACCTGAGCTGAGTGTAGTTTGTGTGGTGTTAGTTTCGACAGAATGCAAGTAGAATCGATAAAATCACTGAAATATAGATATGAAAAATATAGATGCAGAAAACTGAAAAATGGGACCCCCCCCCCCCCCCCCCCCCCCCCCCCCCCACATAAAAAAAACTCAACGGATTTACACGTTTCACAAAAGTCACCTCTGGGACAAATGGGAGGGCAGTTGCCCCCCTTAGCCTCATGTGTGACACCTTGAGGACAAGATAATAAGACTAGTTTTATATTTTGATATCAAAGTACTTTGTTTGTGCCTTCTATTTTGTCACGACATGTCAAGGGGCGCAGAGATCGAAGGTGATTGTAACCCTTGGAGTATTGAGGATGGTTCGAGAGGTGCAGCGATCGAAGGTGATTGTAACCCTTGGAGTATTGAGGATGGTTCCAGGATTGCAGAGATCGAAGGTGATTGTAACCCCTGGAGTATTGAGGATGGTTCCAGGATTGCAGAGATCGAAGGTGATTGTAACCCCTGGAGTATTGAGGATGGTTCCAGGGTTGCAGAGATCGAAGGTGATTTGAACCCCTGGAGTATTGAGGATGGTTCCAGGGGTGTAGAGATCGAAGGTGATTGTAACCCCTGGAGTATTGAGGATGGTTCCAGGATTGCAGAGATCGAAGGTGATTGTAACCCCTGTAGTATCGAGGATGGTTCCAGGGGTGCAGAGATCGAAGGTGATTGTAACTCCTGGAGTATCGAGGATGGTTCCAGGGGTGCAGAGATCGAAGGTGATTGTAACCCCTGGAGTATTGAGGATGGCTCTAGAGGTGCAGAGATCGAAGGTGATTGTAACCCTGGAGTATCGAGGATGGTTCCAGGGGTGTAGAGATCGAAGGTGATTGTAACCCCTGGAGTATTGAGGAAGGTTCTAGAGTTGCAGAGATCGAAGGTGATTGTAACCCCTGGAGTATTGAGGATGGTTCTAGAGTTGCAGAGATCGAAGGTGATTGTAACCCGTGGAGTATCGAGGATGGTTCCAGGGGTGCAGAGATCGAAGGTGATTGTAACCCTGGGGTATTGAGGAAGGTTCTAGAGTTGCAGAGATCGAAGGTGATTGTAACCCCTGGAGTATTGAGGATGGTTCCAGGGGTGCAGACATCGAAGGTGATTGTAACCCATGGAGTATTGAGGAAGGTTCTAGAGGTGCAGAGATCGAAGGTGATTGTAACCCTTAGAGTATTGAGGATGGCGCTATAATGTTATTTCTGTATTTGTTTGACACAATGGTGTTAAAGTTAATAGAGATATAAGCATTTCAGATTGTATGTCTTTTTTATATCTTAAACTTTTCTTTCTAAGCTTGAAATACTAATATTTGGATGTTCTGTATCATATCATATCTTAGAGGATTTAGCTTAACGAATATTTGGTTTGAAGTGATTATAACATCGATTCACTGAAGATCTCTGTTCTATATATAATAATGTCTGTTCGGCTATTATTTCGTTATGACTTCAACATCCAGCCAGATTTAATATTCCTGGCCAGTTGTTGTCATCAGAAACCTATCAAATTAATCTCCGGTTTTTCCTTGCTCCTCCATGATTCGATAGTAGTGTGAATTCTCCCAGCTAATCCCGATACCGGAAGTATACTTTTAACTACTCTTTGATGTCTGTACATGTTACGCCATCAGAAACAAAATGATCAAGCGTCTGGGTGAAAGAGACCAACTCCTAGGGAGACTGACAAAATATTCCTTTGTATTTTGTCCATTATTAAATGTGATTTGTTTATTCATACAGACATATAAACATATACATATATCAAAGTTCCCATTAATCTGTATGAATTCATCCTTTGGTCAAAGAACTTGAGACGTTACAAGGCACCTCAACGTCTATCACAGGATAATATAAACACGCTTATGTACATATAGTGAAAATATCTCTCCTGAAATTGGCGCCATTTTTCTGTTAATTACAAAATGATCCGGACACCGACCGTTTTAATAGAAAGCATTATAGTTTGAAAAATCCTTGCCAATTTTCCTGTCTGCACTTCCGACATTGTTCACGAAGCGTTGCAGTTGTGCAATGAAAGGACTTGATTACAAACAATACAAAACATGTATCTCGCTGATACCCCTACAAAATGTCCAGGATTTTCCTCTGACAGATTGAAGGAATCACAAATATCTTGTTTCGGTTAGGTCCCTTTATAATGTGTAATATATACTATACACTTAAAGAGTAAACGACAATAATGTCTTTTTTGACAAAAGTTTTTAATCTGAGTCTTTGACTGTCAGCGTTTAAGGTCATTTTAACAGGTCAAATAGTAGACGACAGTTTAAGTCATTGTAAGGTTCTAGTGCCTAGTGTATATTTGTATTAAAGATCGCTCTTCACTTGTGTGTTTTTGGTGAAATATTGGTCCCCGAGGGTACTTAATATATAGTGGCACGGTTCTTGTTCTTCTAAAACTACCAGATATCTGACATATACAAAATGTGCTGAATTATAGGGGTAGCGCACCTTCTCATATCGTTTACGGAATTTCTTCGGTCGCCACTTTTGATATTTAGGTCCTTAGCATAACTAACGAGTTCTACAAGGACAAACAGCTGTATTATGTTGGTTGATTATTAGTTTGCATTTACCGTGTCTTATATGAATTTCTATTAAACAATGTTGTTTACCTGTGTGCCGTTTGTACAATCAGCGTTGACGTGATGTCATAGATACGAAATGCTTATTGAATTGGTGACGTGACGTCAGTGAATTGTTATTGTGACGTCATATCATTGTCCTGACAGGGAAATACCCTATTCTTAACCCTAGTTTGAGACAAGGACAATGTTTTATCCCGGACAGATATTTCCGCGCTTTTAACCGTTGTGATATTTCCTTGTCTCAGTCTAGGGTCGAGACGGGGGATAACGTTCTCAAGACAATGACGTCACATCAACATTTCGAGCACGATAACGATGCAAACTACGTTGACAACAAAAACATGCTAGTTTAGAACGAGGCCAGCGAGGTAATGATAATCATTCACCCCATTATTGGTGGGGTAGGGTGATCTCATCACTTGCGAAAAAGATGACTAAGTTATAAACACTGCATCTGTCCCATCGGGTTGAGATCCTTCTGTCTAACATCGATGTGGTGAAAGATGCTATGAATCTCATACTGGAACAAAGCATAGATAAAACCGTTCAGGAAAAGAGAGAAATATTTCTGCGACTTAGTGGAAGACTCCTTTGTCCACAGGTTAAATAAATCAATGGTAACTGAATTAGAAAGGTAAGTTTTTTTCAATAATATTCTGTCTTATGAAGCACGTGATACATTGCTTTATGAGTACAGAACCAAAGCACATTTCATATCTGATCACACGCTATTTACCTATCATCGGATTAATAATATGGAAATCAATTAGCTACAAATCCTGGTCGCATTATTGATTTAGTGTAAGGATACGACTTCAATCAATTTGTTGTGGAGCCTACTCATTTTACAAAACACTCATCTTCTCTTTTTATTTATTGCTGACAAATGATAAAAATGTTATTAAGAAAGTTGTTGGCGAATCTTTTTTACCAGCTGATACAAGATACCACGGTCTTGTTTACATGTGTTAGATGTTGATCGTAATGCATTTAATCAAAACTTTCAAGGACAAGTTTGTACAACAAAGATAATTAAAAATATTTTGTGATAGTTTAAAAAACATTGACTGGGTTAGCCTAATTCCAAATATGGTTGTTGATAATTTCGCTATTTTATTAGTTTCTACGGTTTGGAAATTGCCAAAAAATATATATTCCAAAAACAATTGTACCCATAAGACATTACGAACTACCATGGATGCACAACGAATAATCGGAAAAGATTACACTAAAAAGAAAAAAACTACACGAAACCCTATCCTCTGTCAACAATATAGACAGGCTCCAAGTTCATCCATTGGCGCAATTAGTGAAACGTGATTATATTTCAAAGTTAACAGATAAAATAAAATGTGTGTCTACACAGGATTGATGGGATCTGATTAATACTTATACAAACTTCTCAACAAAAACATTTAGTGTACCTGCTCTGATATATAATTATAAAAAAACTATGGAGACAATAAACAAGAAACAGAATTATTCAATAATCACTTTTTAAGTAAATCTACCATTGATGATTCTAACAACACTTTACAATTACCATTCCCAATAAACTTGATTTTTTAAGCAGGATGTTAAAGACGATATAAGCATGTTAGATATTTCAAAAGCTTCAGGTCCAGACAACATGAGGTCTAGAATCATTAAGGAAGCAAAAACAGAGTCTGTGTGTTCAATTCTTACTAAACTTTTTAACAAGTCTGTGGTTTTTGGAATATGTTTAAACTAATACTGTAGTAACTATTGTTTTTATATTGTTGTGAAGATTACACATTGCTTCTACGTTCACAAAAGCCGGTCATAATCTATTTTACTTAGATTTACTGTCATATTAAGACTGTACACACTGCACAATACATTTGTTAATCAGATGTTGTCTTAACCTAATTGTATGTTATAAAATTATTTTCATTCGAAAAAAACCCCAATAAATCCTTTGCATCCTTAGGAGAAAAAAAGCTTTGGAAAGGAAAACATCAGCGTTGAATGATGAATTAAGAATATAATTAATATACGCATTTTTTATGACAATCATTCGACTACTAAAGTTAGCATCTGGGATGCCATGCTTGATACAAAGAAACAGACGTCCTGTCTTCTCACAGGCTACAGTACGTAATAATCTAAAACTAGGGATTTACTGTACAATTCGGGAAGTATGATATTGTTAAATTTTAGTACCAGGTATACAGGAAAGCTCACAGACTCATCAGTCTTTTTCTCAAACGATGACGTGGTGAAGGGACATTTCCAAATGCTGCTTTACTTGATGAAGTTGTTAGATAAATATTGATGTCTATCAAAAGACATGGTGAGATAAAACTAATTCTAAACGACAAAGACAAGTTGTTTTATCATGATATGCGTAATATCATAAATATTTAGTCTTAAATCAATTTGAAGTGAAAAAAAATTATACACTGTATTAACTTGTCCATGAATCAAGGAAGGTGCTGAAAACAATAGAAATCATGTGTTTTATTTTACCTCTACAGAAGTGAAAGTTTAAAATATCATAAATGTTCAGTACCGCTTTTATAGGACATATATTAAATTATCTTAAATTTTCAACAAGGTTATAAACCCAAAACCAATCACATAGTGAACTATTTGTGATGATGAAATTTTATGATAAATAAAATTAATCAACTCGTACTATCAAAAAGCTAGGAACATTACAGACAGCCCTGTCAGCGTAATATAATACCATAATATATGGTACTCTCGCGTGACATTTTGACATCAATGTTAGTCTCGTTCATCCAGACTGATGTGCTTGCCACAAGCTCCACCAGCAGAGAATCACGTGATCAAGCGTCTGAGTAAACGAGACTACATCAATGTGATCAGGAGTTTAATGATATGCGGGGTATTTTATCAGACTGTCGGTTATCTAATTACTTAAAACCTCTTTTTAAATATCTTTCTATTTGAGTCTGGATTTGGTCATTTTCTTAAAAGTGATATCTACACACAACTTGCCTGTTCTGCTAGGTGTTATTA